CGCACCAAGAGGGTCTTGATAAAGAGGTGATCTTTCTTTCTTTTTTTCGAGTCCCATATAAGAAACGTTGTAGCTTTTCAAGAGGCACGAGTGATGGAGGGTCGTGGTGGACCAACTTGCTGAATGATTTGGGTGGCGAAAACGGTCACTGTCAATCAACGATTTGGACGTGAACTGGTGGTGCTCGTGCGAGCTCTCTCATCACTTCCCAGTGTTCCCACTCGAACATTTCTGGGGTTGGATCTTGATTTCCATCAACACCATTCCTTTCTGTTTCTTCTTGTCAAAGCCTGTTTTTTTATTCTTTTTTTTTTTTGGTGGGGCTTCAATTGAGGATTGAGATCGGCAGAGAATTAAGCAAAGCAGGTGTTTGGTAATCTTTTGTTTTTAATTTTTGGTTGGTTTTTTACTGTTGCAGCTTCTTTTCTGGTGCTTGAGCTCCAGGGAGGTAGACCAGATCTCAGTCATATGAAGAGTCACTTTATTGTAAGTTTAAGTTCCTTCAAATTTGGTCTTTCTCTCTCTCTTTCTCATTGCGAAAACTTAGCTGAAACGGACAAGTAGTGTTTGTGGTATGATCTCAAAGGAATGGTTGAGATGGATCAATCAGTACTGGAGCTAAGAGTGTAATCTGGCTCTACCCATGATTCACATTTTGCTTCATTTAGCTGGAAAAGACTACTTGTTTGGATCTGATGAGCGAAACTAGAAGTGTGTTGGTGAAGTCCTACTGTTATTTGCTCACTTGTTCAAGCCGAGCAGTTGAATTCTTTTGTTTTTGTCCCACCTTTAATGGACTTGGCTTTTTTTTTCACTTTGTGTTGAATTTCTTTTTGACAAATTGTTGCTATTCTGACCAGCTTTTCTTGTCTATTAACCAAATGGGAAACTCTTAAATGAGTTGGGTTCATCTTAAATTTTCATTTAGGTGGAGCTTTAATAGCTGGAATATGTGCTTTCATTTGCCTGCTTAATGCTTAGTCACCTTTTCAGTTTTCATTTTATTCCCTTTACCTGTTTAGGTTTTATGTCTGAACTAGCTGATGACGATACAGCTGTCGACACAAACTTGGCACTCTATGATATGTTTGAGAATGCTTCATATGGAGCTTCTTGAAGTAGAGTCTTGCGAAATTGTTTGTTTACTGAAAGTGTAGCGGTTCCATGATTTCAGTTGGTGGATGTGCTGGTGCTACTCGCGTTGCTTGGTCCTTCTCAATGGGTTGCCATGGGAAGTTCACATTGCGAACTGCATAACGAGGAAAGAGTTCGACCTCACAGCGTCACAATCACCGAATTTGGAGCAGTTGGAGATGGTGTCACTCTCAACACAAAAGCGTTTCAGAATGCCATCTTCTATCTTAATTCGTTTGCGGACAAAGGAGGGGCCAAGCTTTTTGTCCCTGCTGGCAGGTGGTTGACAGGAAGCTTCGACCTCATCAGCCATCTCACCCTGTGGCTGGACAAGGGTGCAGTAATTATTGGATCCACGGTACTGATTAATCATTAATCAAGGTCGACCAAATTGATTTAATTTTGCATATACTGGTTGAGGGACTTGACTTGAGTGCAAAACTTGGTTCTCCACCTATAGAACTTGACCAGTCTTTCGAAACTAGCGAGCTGGCCTCTGTGTTATTTTTGCTTGTTATGTTATTGAAATTATCTAGCAAAATAAAAGGATGATCTCATTTTTCACCTTATCTTACCATTTGATACTCCAAGTTGGCCCTTTCTAAACGGAATATCGAAGAGTTTTTGCCAAGAACATAAAGGAAGAGAAGCTACCCAGAATTTTCGTTTTGGCATATTTAATGTCTGTAACTCACCTGGGTATCAGTAATTAACGTCTTATTGTAGTAGCACAGTAAAAGTGGCTTTGAAGCTAAAAGATGATGCCCAGTTTAGTAAAGAAAATCAACGTCTTTGCTTCAGAACACGGAGGATTGGCCCATTGTTGATCCTTTACCATCATATGGCCGTGGTAGGGAGTTGCCTGGTGGAAGGCATCGGAGTCTCATTTTTGGACGCAATTTAACGGATGTGGTAATTACAGGTGAGTGATATAAATGAGAATCCATTTCCTTATGAGTCCTCTTCATATTGCATATTTCCCTTGTGCAGGCGAAAATGGAACTATCGATGGTCAAGGCAGCATGTGGTGGGAACGGTTTAGAAACAAAACCCTGGACTATACTCGGCCACATCTAGTCGAGTTGATGAACTCCACTGGGGTTGTCATCTCGAACCTCACCTTCTTAAATTCGCCATTCTGGACCATCCATCCTGTATATTGCAGGTTTGTCTGATCTGTGGCTTGAATTCTTCAGTTTTCTATCTGCCTGTATAAACTGTGCAAAAATGAAGTTTTCATGAACTAGGGGGACTTGAGATTGTTTTTCTCGATTCACAGCCAAGTTATCATTCAGAAAGTCACCATCCGCGCTCCTCTTGATTCACCGAACACAGATGGAATTGATCCTGGTAAGGTCTTTCTCCTAGACTGTTATTTATTGCAATTTTTATATTTCCAGAGGTCTATCAAATCCAAAACTGCAGATTTATATCCATTGAGCTTATTGAATTTGCTCATTAGAGTCAAGTTTCCATTATGCTTATTACAAACCCTTGATGCTTTTTGGAACATAAGCATCTATAACCCTTTTTTAGTCTCCATTGGATGATAAGATGTTCATATAACAATCTGATATTCCCCTATAGTGAGTGACCTATTATGAATAGACCCCCTCCATGTTCATTCCAACGGAAAAATGAGAATATCTTCTTCCAATTCCAACACAATGTGAGGTTGAATTCAAATTCTGATTTCATAATTCCTCCTGTCACACTTCCTTATTATTTCCTTATTATAATGCCTCTTTTTTGTAGACTAGATATCATTTTGATATTGCACGAACTGTCTATTCCACCGCATGACGTTGAACAGAGTGCTGACTTTTTTCACGGTTTAATTCATCTAGACTCCAGCGATGATGTATGCATAGAAGACTGTTACATAAGCACAGGTGATGATGTGATCGCTATCAAAAGCGGTTGGGACGAGTACGGCATATCATATGGTCGTCCTAGTAAAAACATCATCATTCGCCGGCTCTTCGGTGAGACTCATAGCTCAGGGATCGCGATTGGAAGTGAGATGTCTGGAGGAGTATCAGACGTCCATGCAGAGGACATCGTGTTCTTCAACTCCACCGCTGGCATTAGAATAAAAACATCTCCAGGAAGAGGCGGTTATGTGAGGAACGTGTTCATATCTAATGTTACAATGGCTAATGTAAGTGTAGCCATAAGATTCACCGCTCTCTATGGGGAGCACCCGGATGAATCTTACGACCCCAATGCGCTGCCCAAAATAGAAAGGATCACTTTTAAAGACATCCGCGGGGAGAATATAACGGTAGCAGGGCTTATGGAGGGTATTGAGGGCGATAATTTCATCAATATCTGCCTATACAACATCACACTCAGTGTAAACTCGATGTCTCCCTGGAACTGTTCGAATGTTCAAGGTTACTCCAGTTTAGTGAGCCCTCAGACTTGCAAACCTCTTGAAGAAAGTATATTCCCAGATCATTGCACTGAGTGTTACCATCTATCGAGTGTTTCCTCGCAGGGACATAGAATACGAAACAAAGGTGCTCGGTTGCTATCTTGGTGGACTTACCTCGAAACATAGCATGTTTCTTGGAGGCCAAAACACCTTCTTCATTGGATGTCGAATATTTGTTGAAGAGTTTTGAATTTTTGCCAGCTCTCAGAGCGACCGGCCATTGCCGTTTCCCTGCGACAATAAAAAAAAGTGTCCACAACATCAAAAGCAGAATTGGGTTGCTGATGGTTGTTGAACTGTGAGATGGTAGTGAGAGATGATTGTTTTCCTTGTAGCTTGGTGTGCAGTCACAAATAATTTTTTTGTGTAAGATAACATACTAAAGATAGATTAATTTGTAATCTTTGTAAATTTTCTCTTATTGTAGCTAAGATATCCTTTCTTTCTTTCTTTTTTTCCATCTGGCCGTACGACAAGCAATAAATGTGCATTCACGTATAAGTCTATTAAGAATCTCATCTTCTGGTTGAGGACAAAATGTTGGCAAAAGAGATGAAGCAAACTGGTGAAATATGGTTTTTCCTGGAAGCTGCATCCCCTCACCATGAAAGGGAAATTTACGTTACTATTGATATCATCATCTGAAGTTCTTGTTTTTTCATTTTACGAAAGTGTGAATTGGAATCTCAGCAATGAACAATCCAACCATTCAGTTCGTGGGGAAACTTCCAGCTGTGTACTCTCATTGTCATATTGTTTGTCTTTCCTCACAATAGTAAAGCTGATAGCCAATGAAACTTCCGATGAACTTTGACTAATTGGAATACAATGCCAATGCAAATTTGCCTAAGATGTAATTCCGGGTTACAAAAGGGATGAGGCGAGTAAGTACAAGCGAGGTATTGTCTGGTTTACGCCGGTGGACCTCACGGTTTTGTCTTTTGGAAGGCGTGTCAGACGGTTAGCCCCAGCTTCTTCGTTTGGAGCCACAGCGATCAGTTGATTCTGCCATAGAGTGAAAAATCTCTTGCCTTTCTCCATCAGCCCATTTCTTTGACAAAGGTTCAATGGGTCTGAAAATCATATGTCAAGGTTTTCTATGGGAAATGAAACCTGAGTGGAGGAGTTCAGTTGTGCCTGGATTGGTACATACCAGGCCCACTATATTCTGCTCCAACACTTAGTTACAAGCAGCCCATATTACTTGATTTTGGTTTGGACTGAAGCTCAAATTTGCTCACGCACACTCGAAAAAAAACTAGAGTTTTTGCTATGGACTGTCCGCATGTGCACAGGCACTTGTTTGCCGATGCCGCCATTACGTAAAGTGATCGAAAGATCGAAGTACTTACTGTTATTTGTAGTAGTTTGTTCAGCAAAGACGTGAAATTTTGGCATGCACAGTGATTTAACAATTGAGCAACTCATGTAGGAAAAGAGAGAAGAAACTCTTGTTGACTGTTGTCATATCATTGGGTGTGATTTATATACACAGAACTATCATCAGGCTTTTAAGCACGTGTGTGTGACTTCGGCCCAAAAAGAAGGGGCACATCCATGGACAACTCATCTTCACATTGCTCTGCAAAAGGAGATGCCGAGAGGCAGAGAGAGAGAGAGAGAAAGCAAAATTTGTCTTATGGTGGATGAACAGGAACGTCTTGCAAAATCACTCGATTCTTGTGATCTTCAGTCTCTTCACACTTGACAGGAACATCCTGCATCATATCGAATTGACCCAAAAGAAAGAAAGGATCGTGAAACAGTTTCACAAACACATTACATTAATGTTGGAAAAGGACCATCTTTAAAGTGATTTTTTGCACGTTTTACCATTTTCATTAGGATGCACCGCAGACGTGTTAATGAGATTCATCTGTTACTTACTTCTCGACGCCTTATTAATGAATGGACGAGATTGGGTATTCTTCCGACGAAATTTGAAGTTGAAACATCAGGAAAACGGAGATAATCAAAAAAGAGGGAAGAAGAATGAAGTTGAAACTTACTCCCAAGGAACATCCCCAACCATCAACCAGTCCCCTTCCTTGTCTTCATATAACAACACATGGCACCCTCCACATTGAGCTCCTTCCTCTTCTGACCCTGCTCTAATCAAAATTCACTTTAGAACCCCCATCAATCTCTAAAAACAACTAAATACGTTCTTGGTGAAAGCAAAACCCGAAAAGAAGATTACCCACGAAAAAAGAAAGAAAGAACAGAACAGAACAACCAAGAACACTTGTGACACTTGGTACTTACACATGATATTGGTGTTGAACATGTAATCTAGAGTTCTGATCAAGTCACAATATCCATCATGAGCCAGCAGGTCCAATTTCCTACCGATGGGAATGCCCTCCATGTAAACCTTCACGTAGAAGGTAGCCGCGTTGCCACATTCATCTCCTTCTTCTTCAATAGCCTCCCTACAGAGGAAAAGAGATGAGAGACTCATTCAACACGCAGATCAGAACACGAAGGGAGAAGGGCAGAAGGTTCAACAAACAAACAAATTCAACTGGTGGCATTGAGTACTTTGGAGAAAAAGGGTGATTGTGATCTTGGTCAGAAGCTGGCGAGAATCCGATCGCGAGGTTGAGATCTGTGGTGAGGCGTTTCTTGAGACGCCGAGACAGGGACGAAGCTGTCGATGAGGAAGCCGACGAGGAGCTGCTCCCTTTGCCCATTTTCTCCTCCTCCCTCCTCCTCCTCCTCCTCCTTCCTCTGTGTGTGATCAGATCGAGCCGCCACCTTTGGCTCTTATACACAGAGCAAAAGTGAGTAATTTAATGGTTTGAAAAAGCAAAAGTAGAATTGAAATTTGAGACATCGTTAAGGAGAGAGGAGAGAGAGAGATGTTTCTTTCTTTTCCTGAGTTTCTTTCCGGCCATCGCTCGCCCACTGGACTGGGATGTCATCATGGGAGGCGACACGAACACATGTGTCACGCGCGTATTGAACAGCAGTGGCCTTGACGTGTGATCTTGGGTTTCTTGAACTGCGTACTTTGGCGGCAACGGCCTGTTCTTTGGACCAAGATTGACCGCCACGTCTTCAGGGTGCGTTGTATGTGCACTGTCATCGAAAGGGTTGTGTCTCGTACAGAAATCATCCATCAACATCGTTGCTGCGATGACGAGCTGACATGACACTCGACAGATTTTAAGGTCCATGACCCACGATTCGCGTTCGAATGAACCGTTCAAAACAACATTAAACTTCCATTCACAACGCATGTTATCCTGTCCCGTAGCTAGACAGATTTCATTCACTCTTTCATTTAATATTTCGGTGTATACACGCCTCAGTCCTTTCCTATTGGTTTAGAATTTTTTTCTTGCTCCGACCCCGGCAATACCTAACTTTATTTTTTACATCTCGTGATCGAGACATGACCTTTCAATGACTTACCAAGATTGGGAATTTCCAATTATAATCGCATTCGAATATGTAATTTTGGACAAGTTGCTTCATGCGCGTTCTACTTTTTGAAATGCTCGCCATTTTTTCGGGTTTCGGGTCGATCCATCAAATCCTTGGCAAGCGTCCACATCCCTTTTCGGCTACATCTTTAAATTTAGCCCACAAATTAAATTGCTCATGCAAAATGGGCAAATTTTTTTTTTCTTTCGAAAACTTCTTTTTCGGCCCTTTTCAGTAGAGAAATTCACATTAATAAAAAGAAAAACATTTTTCTTCCCACGAATACCCCTTCCCCAAATCTCGCGTTTTACGTAAGAGCTTCTTCTGGAATTGGTCCCCCTTCACAATCGAAGCGAACGAATGTGGACAGCCTCCGTGCATTGGACGTGGATACAAAAAGGGGTCATCGATGGGAGTGGAACCCCCATTTAATTACACGAGCAAATCAATCAATTTTGAACTTGACCCGGACGACCTCAGATCAGTGTTCAATGGATCAGTGCATTGACCCATCGATTTTTAATGCGATTTGACTTGATTTTTTTTTTTTGGTATTGGTAATAGAGAAGCTAGAGAAGGGCGTTATTAAAAGCAGGGGAGGTAGATGGTGAACCGAAACCGGCTCTTTCGATGTTTAGGGATGAGGAAACATGAGACTATCGAGTCACGAGACATGAACACACGAAACATGGTTCCACGTATAAATGGGAATGGCATGATGACCCGTGCGTGACTGGCATGCCGGAACGAAAAGATTTGTAAAACATTTTTCTCGTGGTTTCGGTCCGGAGTTTTTCGGGGTTTGATTTGTAAAACATTTTTCTCGTGGTTCGGGTGCTTATCGTCACTTTTTATCGTTTGTGGATGAAAGATCGTTCGGTGCTTTGAGAGTGTAGTGTCTTCTTCATTGGGCGTAAGGCAATAAATCTAAGTATTTAAAGCCGTCGACGTCAACGCCGGCTGTACTATGTAGAATGGCCAGCGTTTAGGAGAGAACGTGGTTTCAAAGTAGAATCGAGAACTAGACTGAACTGGCTACAAGAGCTAGTCCGATTTCAGGTTTCCACGATTATCGGTCTAATTTCCAATTTCAAGAAAAGGTGAAACAGGTACTATGCGGTTCGATTCTTGGTTCCAAGGGAAGAACCGAACCAGGAATCGATGAACTATGGTTATGTATTTTGAACTTTTTATTTTTTATTTTATTTTATGTGTTCATCTTTTATTGATTGTTGTTATTAACAATTGAGGATTTTGGTTCTTGTGTTCACTTTCATTTTGCTTAATTAAAAATAAAACAAAAAAAGGAAGAAAAAAAATGAAACAAAAAAAAGAAGAAATTGACCGGTTCCTGAGTAGACCCAAGAATCGATTGATAACGTAGATTTCAGGTTTCATGATATGCAAAGTAAGTTCTAGATTCCAAAAACTAGGGAACCGGTTTCGACAAGGTAGGTTCTACGTGGAACTTGGATCGACCCTGGAATTGCTCCCCCCTATCGACGTCCATATCAGCGATTTCTAACCGAAATTGACTGGAAGAACTGTATTGGAAAATCGTCAAGAGGTTTAGGATTAAATTCGTCAAATTAAAAAGTCTAGGATTGAAATGGCTGCCGTATAATAGGTTTATGACTAAATTGGCCAAATTTAAAAACATCCATCAATTGTCCACATCCAGTGAGCGCCGGCTTATTCTGAATGTGTCTTGTTTATTTTGTGAGTCTCGTCAAATAATCAATATAAATCTAAATATCTCAATAGTCGGTAATCTGTATCCCACAATTGTATACAAAGAGACAGCTCGAAAAACCACATCGACCTACTCTAGCCTATTCAAACGAGACTATTCATAGTCGATCGAAGCGTGAAAACAGTCAATACGAACTTTCATGTGAATGGACCCGGCGATTGGATGGGAATTATAAAACGGGCAAATCAAAATGAACACTAGATTCACGTGGGAGCTGGAGGGCAATGCTAATTAACCACAAACTAAAGAGAAAAAAAGCACACCGACGTACTTCCAACGAGACTATTCACGGTCGATCGAAACGTGGAAACAGCCGATACGAGCTTTCATGTGAACCGACGACACGGCGATTTGATGGCAATTTTCAAACGGGGCAAAATCGAAATGACTGCTAGATTCACGTGGGAGCCGAAGGGCAATGCTAATTAACCACAGATTAAAAAGAGATAAGATCCCAATTAAGGGACATGCAATCAATTAGGGTTTTGGGGAGCACGAGAAAGAGAGGGAGGGGTGGGGGGCCAAAGATTGAAAAGAGCGACACCACCCATCCCATGCACGACGTGCTAAGTAAAAACTTCATCTCCCCTCCTCGCTCCAGAACAAAAATCCCTCCGCCCACGTGTTCCAATTTTCGCGTGCCCTACTGCGCTTGGTGCTTTTTCGACTAGGAGGGGAACAAGAAATCCAAATCTTGGACCTAAAGAAACGCCAAATGTTCAAAAAGATTTGTTGGGTGGTTCCTCAAAATTTCAACAGGGAAATGCTGAGGGGGGAAAAAAAGGAAAAGGACCGGGGGGAAAAAGGGACTGATGTCCCCTACCTTCCCTACCACATTGTTGCTTCAATTGACCTAGGGTAAACCTTTTTCTTTCAAAAAAAAAAAAAAGATTATATATGTATGGGCGAAATACTTTTCTTTTTTTCATTATCTCTTTTATGGGGTGATCGGCGAATATATTCCGGCGTTATCTTGCGAGAAAATTCAAATCGGTATCTGAAGAGAGGGATCGTATTTTATAAAGTAGCTCTGAATTTGAGATTGTCTCGAATGGTCCTCTGAACTTGAGTAGCGTGTGTCGATTTGCATCTCCACTAATCGGCTATGAAAAAATGGTAGGAGAACGCACACGCGCATCTCATGTGTTAATTTCAAGGGCGATCTTGTAAAAAAAAATCATAAATTGTAACGAAAATTATAATTAAAACTAAACCCGAGAGAGACAGAGAGAGGGTATGGGAGGCCAGACAGCGGCGGCGACGCCCCCCAAGAACCAACGAGGGTTCGACCTCCGATTTTTCCTTAAGAGTAATTAGAGTGAGGGTGCATTGAGGGTGCATTTATCAAATTTGGAGCGTCATTCGAAACAAATTTCACGGGGTCAATTGAAAATTTTTCTATTTAATAATGAGGTGTCATCATCGACGATCTTTCTGTAAATTCTTAAAGCGTGGCAGCCAAGAAAAGCGAGTAAATGCCATGAAAACTGGCCAAAAAACATATGATTGTTGGCGACTGTGCTTATTAAAGAACGCAAAAATGCATCCGCACATGATTCATTTGATTGGAGTTCATTGGCCACAATTTGCTTTCTTCTTCTTTTGGAATGTAAAAGCACAAAAAGCATTGCGACCATTTCGATCTTGATTTCGTTTCTTTTCTTTCCTTCCGACAGCTACCTGGATTCGATTCTACTTTGCAATTCACCGGGATGAAAGTTCGAAATCTGTGTAAAAAAGGGACTCGTTCGTGGTATGGCTCAATATATAAATGCTCATGAATCGGGTCACATGGATGGTCTAGTTTCCATGTTGAATACTTTCCCGAAAGCCTTCGAGACAAATTTGCCTTTTCTTTCTATGGATTCTCCCGATCTAACGTTTGTCGTGAGGCTGATTTTCCGTCTTTATGATCTTGTCTCGTCTTTTGGACTGCTGAGGTTGCGGACGGTCAAAGATTTCGGATTTTGTCCCTTTCCCCATCGTCTGTCTCCAGATCCCAGGCCCCTAACCGAGGCACGATCCAGCTTTTAGCCTGTGTTTGGGGACAGCTTTCCCCCCTCTCTTTAACAGCTGTTCACTCGTGATTTCCCTGATGACTTTTTTTTACCTCGCCGTGTCCAGAAATTTCATGGCGTGAGAGTGACAACATTTGCAAAGAAGTCGAATGAGGTCGATCTGCCATTAGCTGATGGAAACTCACTACACAAGGAAAAGAAGCTATATACATACAGGACTCGAAGCTATACTAATACCAAGTGAGAGGGACTTCCTCGAAAGCATCATTTGCGAGGTAATAAGTGAGCGTCAGGATGTTCGAATTCCGCCTATCTGTCAAAAGCCCTCGTTGAAGCTGAGACAACCTTTTCAAAAGCTGTGTAGAAACAATTCCACGTACGCGCCAAACACCATCTAATCATGTATCTCAAGGCCAGGAACATGTTTTTCGTCCATCCCATCTTGAAATCTTACCAAAAGTCCTCGGCAAGGCGAAAAATTTGTCAACTGAATCCGAATCATCGGGGGAAGAACACTGGAAGTGCCAAAATTTGTGT